GGGATTCCGAGTCCCATCGCACCCAGCAGGGAGGGAAGGGATATATTGTCCCGGGAGGGGGAGGAAGCCCCAGGGCAGCGGAAACGCCAGCCGGGCCCACACCGGGGGGGGGGGCAGGGCCTTGGCTGACCCTGGTCTTCCCTGTCCCACGCAGGGATCCTCCACGAGGACCTCCGGCTCCTGCTGGAGACTAACTTGCCGGCCAAAAAGAAGAAGGTCGTGGTGGGGGTGAGCGATGCCAAAATTGGGGCTGCCATCCAGGAGGAGCTGGGCTACTCGTGCCAGACGGGAGGCGTGGTGGCAGAGATCACCCGAGGTGAGGTGGACATTGCCTTGCAGTCCTTTGGCAAACCCAGCCCAGGGCTTGATCAGGTGGCCTTGGGTGGGGAGGAGGAAGGGAGGGAGGGATGCAGGCTGCAGAAGGACACATTTTCTCCTCCTTTCGGGCCCTCAGGGATCCGCTTGCACTTCCATGCCTTGATCAAAGGCTTGACCGTCCAGTCGGCCTCCAAGGCCCAGCTGGGGCTGGGGCACAGCTACTCCCGGGCCAAAGTAAAGTTCAACGTGAACCGGGTGGACAACATGATCATCCAGTCTATCAGCCTCCTGGACCAGCTGGATAAGGACATCAACACCTTCTCCATGAGGGTCAGGTGGGTCGGTGGTGCATGGCTTTTGTCCACAGGTTCCCTGCCATCTTGTGAAGCTTCCTCGGGGCCAGTGGGCAGCCTTCCGGTCTCCCAGTGCTTACCACAGGCAGCAAATCCACAAGGGCTGGCTGTACAGAAGTGGGAGAGACAGAAGCAGAGACCCTGCGATACACCCCAGCCAGGCCGACTCTCCCCTAGGCTGGATCGTTAGCAGGGGCACACGCTTTTCTTGGCAGGAAGAGGGGCCTTGTTCCTTGGCACAGCCAGGTTTGAACAGAAAACTGTAGAAGCCAAACACCGCCAGGTCTGACCGTGCCATGGCTTCTTTGTAAGAAGATGATGAGCCAGGTTCCCCCCCCCACACACACACACACCCACCCCTATGCTGACTTGTGTTCTTGATTCCTTCTGCAGAGAGTGGTATGGGTACCACTTCCCAGAGCTCATTAAGATTGTGAGTGACAACTACACCTACTGCCGCCTGGCCAGGCTGATTGGGAACCGGAAGGAGCTGAGCGAGGAGAGCCTGGAGGGATTGGAGGAAATTGTGATGGACGGCACCAAAGCTCAGGCCATCCTGGAGGCCTCTCGCTCGTCCATGGGTCAGTGGGAAAGAGGAGGAGGTTCTTGGCTCGGCGGATCTGGGTCTCAGGAGGTGGGGGAAAGGAAGCTTGAGGGCTGCTGGGGAGTGGCAGAAATCAAAAGCCAGTGTGAACCAGCATCTCATGTGAGCCGTTTTCTCTAGAGCTGGGGTTCTTGCCTAGGCCTATAAGCGAGGAGGGAGGGGACTTGCCTAGCAGGCTGAGTGTGAGAGTGACCTTCAGGCCCCCAGCCTTTCAGCTCTGATTGGAGAAGTGGTGAGTCAGAGGAGGGAGAGAGTTCCTGACACACCACTGGGCACAGAAATGATGGACAAGGTGAATCTGTCAATCCACTGAGTTGTCTCTGCTGACATCTACTCACTGCTGATCTGTGCCCCACCCAAAAAAGAAAAACAGCCAAAGAAAAGGTGGGGGCTCTTGCAGTTTCCTGTATCCTTTACACAGTTTGGCTCTCACACCTGGTCATCTTCAGAAGGTGCTGTCTTTGGATGGGTTGGGTACAGGCCCCACATGCAGCGGGAAGAGGATGGGGAGCTTCTTGGCCCGCTTCCATCCTGCCTTGTCCCACTACTTTGCAGGAATGGACATCTCGCCCATTGACCTCATCAACATTGAGAGCTTCTCCAGCCGGGTCATCTCTCTCTCGGAGTATCGTAAAGGCCTGCAGGAATACCTCCGCTCCAAGATGAGCCAGGTGGCCCCCAGCCTTTCAGCTCTGATTGGAGAAGTGGTGAGTCAGGGAAGGGAAGGGAGAGGGTTGCGGACACAGCACTGGGCACAGAAATGATGGACAACGTGAATCTGTCAATCCACTGAATTATCTCTGCTGACATTCACTCACTGCTGATCTGTGCCAGAAAAGAGAAAGAAAATTTTGGGCCCCTTGTAGAGCCGATCTTCTCACTTCCTTCTCATTTTCTGTATGCAAAAGCTATAGGGGACAGTAGGGCTGAGTCCACTTTTTCTACTGTCCCTTTCTGTGCTTGTGCGGCAAGATGTTCCCTATTCGTTGAGACTGGGGTGGGGTGGGGGGGAGTAGGCTGCAGTGACTTGGAGTGCATGCAGGTTCCCTCCAACATTAGCCTGGTGTAATTGCGTTCAGCCTGTGATAACGAAGGTTGTTCTTCATCTGCAGGTGGGCGCCCGGCTCATCTCTCATGCTGGGAGCCTCACAAATTTGGCCAAGTATCCTGCTTCCACCGTGCAGATCCTAGGTGCCGAAAAAGCCCTCTTCAGGTACAGCTGCAGGGGGGCCGCAGTGATGGCAGGCCTCTGGGGCAGAGGGCATGTGACACCCTGGCTAGGCACTCCTGGTCATGTGCATGATGGGATGCCCTGCCCGCAGCCTCTGAGCGGCCACCTGGGGCAAACCCTTTCCCTTTGATGTGGTAGGTTAGCAATTTCTGTTTTGGGCTGGGACGGGGCCAAGGGGTGACTGGGTTCGTGCTGCAGTGAGCGACTGTTGGAGTCAAGTGGGCGGGCTTGGCAAGATTCTGCTCCTGCGCCAGTGGCTTCTGCCTTCAAGGGTCTCGCCCTTCCTGCACTCCAGGGCTCTGAAGACACGGGGCAACACTCCTAAGTACGGCTTGATCTTCCACTCTACCTTCATTGGACGGGCAGCTGCCAAAAACAAGGGCCGCATCTCCCGCTACTTGGCCAACAAGTGCTCCATTGCATCCCGCATTGACTGCTTCTCAGGTGAGGCCTTTGGACAGGGCTGTTCTTGCTCCTGATACCTCCGGGCAGGCTCCTCGGCAGCTTTGCCATGATGGTTACATTTTTCGTCAACAGCATTTCACGCAGTGAATGATGATGCTTCAGGTCTGAGCAAAGCCTGCCTTGCGTCCTTTCAGGAGGGAGGCCTTGGTTTCCTGCCATTGGGGGGCAGGCAGCTTCACAGAGACCTGTTTTTCCTCCACAGAAGTCCCAACTTGTGTCTTTGGGGACAAGCTGCGAGAGCAGGTGGAGGAGCGGCTGGCTTTCTACGAGACGGGGGATCCCCCTCGCAAGAACCTCGATGTTATGAAGGAGGCTGTTGTAGAGGTGAGTGGTGAGATCCTGATGTATGGGAGACAAAACCCAAGTGCTGGATGTGATGAGAACTTCCAGGCCTGACCAGTCTACCTGTGGAGGCTAAAACTGATTTAATGAGCCTGATCCAGCGTGTGCTTGTCCCAAGCTGGGAGCCCAGGAGGGGTGGGCGTTGGAGTGGGGCTAGCAGCAAAGGCCTGTCTGCTCTTCTCAGGCAACACAGGTGGCTGCTGAAATCAAAAGGAAATTGGAGAAGAAAGAGAAGAAGAAGCGTAAGCGTGAAAAGAGGAAGCACCTGGAGGCCTTGGCGGGAGCAGAGGAAACGGAGAACTCCTTGCTGGAGACGACAGCAGAGGTGAGGCTGCCTTAGGAGCTCTCCCACAGGGTGCTGATACCAAAGAGGGGTGAGGGCTAGCAGCTGTAGGCCCAAAGAATTCGGTAGCTTTATACAATGTTAGGATATCCCTCATTCCTTTTTAGAAAATGCCATAGGTGTCATGAGATTTAGAGTCAGAATGGGGTGGCAGCTTAGCCCTCTTCTCACGTATGCCAACCCTCTTGCTGCAGGAAAATGAGGTGGAGCCCAAGAAGAAGAAGAGGAGGAAGCACCAGGAGGCGGAGGAAGAGGAGCCCGCCGAGAACGGCCTGGAGGAAGAAGAGAGCTTGCCCAAGAAGAAGAAAAAGAAGAAAGTGGCTGCTGAGGAGACCCCTCAGCCCAAAGTGAAAAGGACCAAAAAGAAAAAAGCCAGAACAGAGGAGGAGGAAGAGGAGCAGGAGGAGGAGGAAGCCTAGGGTGGAAATGCCGGCTGAGGACGAGAGGCCCTGGCTGACATCAAGGCCGTGCTCTTCATATACTTCTGTCCAGTACTTTCAAGGCAACTGAATGTAGCCCCTTCACTCCTCGCGTTTCGATTTCCAGTGAAAAGAGTACGTGGCAGCCTGAGGCCTCTGGTGCAACTTTCAGTCCTCCTGCAAAAAAAAAGGGTTCCTTTGTGCCTCAACCGGGGATGGGGGGCAATGCTTGCATGAGATAGCTGAGCTGGCCTAGGAGCCAAGGGCAGGCAGCGCTGCGGCCTGCCTGGAGGAGGACTGTCCAGCCAGCTCCTGGACTGGCCGCAACCGTGTCTTTGACAGAAGCAGGGGTTGGGGGCTGGCGGACTGGAATTTGATGCTTTTGTTGGTTAACCTGCTAACAATAAAATTTGCAGTCTTTTTCTAGCAACTCTTCTGGCTTCAGCAATCTTATGAGCGAACGAGGCTGCAGGGGAGATGGGCCACTAGAGTCAAACACAGCCCCCTCCTTTGGCAGGGGACACAAGCATTTATTTACACACTTGAGACCAGACTTGGATTTTTGCATGTTGGTCAGCAAGCAGCTCAGTGGCCCTGTTCCATTTTGAAGGGAGGGGGGGTGGCTACAGCCATCAACTGTCATTAAAAGTAAGCAGTTTCTCATGGAGGTGGATATTCTTCTGACCTATTTTGGCATGGGATCTCTTTGGCAATCAAGCAGAGGCTCCTTTCTCAATTCTGAAAATGTACATCGGCTTCGTAGCCTGGAGACAACAGCCCAAGCTGTAGAAGCTTGTCCCTGTAACTTTTAATGGGGGTAATGGTGCCTAATTTAAATGAGTTTCCTATGTTTTTTTTCTTTTTTAAAAAAACCCCACTCCAAATAAATGACAATTTGCAGGCCTGACTACAATTTCAGTAAGAAAGTGTTCCCCCCCTCCAAAAAAGAGTCTGCCAGGAGCCGTCACACCGGAGTCTGGTTTTCAGGAAGTACCAAAGTTCCACCTAATGTGGCTGACTGCAAAGATGGGGAGTGGAGCCTACAGCGCCCAGCGTGTCTTGATCTTGAGTTGCTCTACACCAGGCACTGCACAGTTCAGGAGAGCAGCAGTAATTTTTCTAGGCTGCCAGCCTCCTGTAGAAAGTTTCCCTCAGGCAGAAACACACTTGGCCGCTTCAGAGAAGGGCCTAGAGATGGTGCACCTTGTTCGGGTGTGCCAGAGAGACATGCATGGCTCTTCCCAACCCACAAAATGCCAACACCACAGGACAGCTGCACATAGGCTCTTTTTATTTGTTCACTGTGCGTTTTTGACAACCATAATAAATACTTGGCTCACAATAAATTAGGAAGCGAAAGCAGAAAGCCCCCCGTCATCCTTTCTTGGCTTGCTCTACTCGGTCATAGCTGCGATCACGGCACGGGTGAAATCATAGGATGTAGAGTAACCCCCCATATCGGGGGTCCGCACCTACAAGGCAGAGCGGAACGCAAAGAGGCTGTAACGGGGCGGCAGGTATCCTACCGTTTCGTCCCTCAAAGGCCTACCTAGAGAGCACCTTTGGGTTCTTTGGAAAGCTAACAAGGTGCACGATTTGGGCACAGTGTCTCAGGCAGGAGGCCAAGCACAGGTAAGTGAGCAAATCCTTTTGCGCCCAAGACCCAGAACCAGCACTCAAGGTGCCTCCTGCAGCTAAGTCGCTTATGCAAAGTAACAACCGTTCAGGAGCTTTAGTCCTGGCAGATACTGGCAGGGAAGAACCTGAACCATTCTTTCAAGGGGTGGTGTTGCTGCTGCTCCTTCTCCTATCCTTAGAGGAACTATGTTTTTAAAGCAACAAAATCAAAGGAAATTTAATTTTAAAAAATCAAAAGATCTGCTTTTTAAAAAAGGATAGTGACATTTAATGAATGCTGGGGAGATGCAGTGCACAAGCCAGATGTCATGATGAAGAGGATGATTGCGGTTCTCTTGCAAAGCCAATTGCATGCTTTGGGCAATGGATAAATATGAAAGGGAGGTGGTCACAGCTGTCACAGGAGTAAGGCCCACCATCCACGGACGTCAGTGGGTCGCTTTCAAGCAAAGGGTAATAATGATGATTTTGACTCAGGGTAACCCTTTTCAGGGCTTCCCAGGTGGAGAATACTTCGAAGCAGTTGACTTGTTGTCTTCTTCTGGGGGGGGGGGCGTCCTGGGGCTCCCAACCTCTGCTTCTCCAGCCAGACCTCAACCCCTGCGCTAAGCACACCAGTAACCCCACCCTCCTTGCCTTCTGCTCACCTTAAGGAGCAGCTGGTCTTGAAAGGCACAGGCCCTCTGGTGCTGCAGGTCCATCGG